GGCATGTTCTTTATTTTATTCCTAAGTTTTGTGAAGTAATAGTTTTCCCCTGTCAGGACTGGCTGTCATGACTCTGGCTGCATGGCTCTGCACTAAACCCAATGCTGCAATCAGACCATGGTTATCCATCTCTCAGAGCGCCTAACAATGAATTAACAACAGCAGCTCAATCAGTACCACAGAACAGCTAATTGCTTTCCTACATGTCAGTGCACTGCCTCTGTTTCCACTGAATCAAAATCACCATCAATCTGCACAGCAGCAGTGCAGGCCTGGCTGAGCACAAGGCTTAGCTTACAGTGCAGTATGAACACTGTTGCAATGTTCAGTGCCTTAGGTATGCTGATCTGTTTTCAGTGGCCAGGTTCCTAATTTATCCTGCCGACAACAACGTAAATGTACTCAGTGACTGACTCGCACAAGAAACAGCGCAAACAGTCTCAAAGATGCACAGTGTGACTGCAGCTCTCTGTGCAGCACTGACAGTAGTTGAAACAGGCCTGGATGCCAAACTAGCTCATCAAACTCGCTGGAGTCCTTTAGGATTGTGAGGAATGAAGGAATTTGTTATAAGAAAAGATATTAGACACCCTCAATTATAAAATCTCAACCGTCCACAGTACATCTGGGAAGAAGAAGTTTCATGTTTTGACAATGTGTCCTACAGCTGCTTAAAAATAATAAAGATCAGCGTGGAGTCGAAAGAGAAAATGAGTACAACAGTTCAAGAGGAAATTGTGGAAATAAAAGAGGAAAGATAACATTGGGAGTTTGGCAGTATTTTGGATCTTTTAAACAAAAAAAACAAATGAATATTTATCTATATAGTATGGAAGTCCTGCTTGATCATAAGCGTGATCCTCTGGTGGCTTGATAACCTTCACAGCCACTACAGGTTGTTCCACATCTCTCTTATGGAATATCCTGTTCACTCGAGGACTGAGCGCTTTGGCTGAAAATACGATGCTTATTTTCCAGCCATGTTGCCCAGCCCTAACCTTTTTATCAATAACTAACTCATGCTTACTTCAGAGGGCATGAGTAGGGCATGAATAAGCATTCAGTATATTTGCAGTACCATGTTGGAATGTCTCATTCACCACCTGAACAACCAGTGTTTTGGAAAGAGAGGGTGTACTTGGATTATTATGCCATTGCCACTAGATAACTTGAAAACGGTCTCAAAACAACAATGTTATTGGCACAATTTATTGCCCAGCAGAATTAGTTATTGTGACAGGCCTACTAATACCGTGTGCATGAAGAGGAAAAAGAGGCCGTCTCGATGCCATTGGTGGGTGACTTTGACAATGACACAGGTTGAATTAGAGGCGAAACTGATATATATATGCGTTACGATGTCCAACCTACTTAGACTGATGCTGCATAAAACCTGGATGGAGATCGTTCAGATGTGGGGGTGACACATTCAGCTGTTTACAGCTGAGATCGAGGCGTTTCATTTCTGCCTCAAAGCTTTTGGTGAACCTGAGAACATCGCCAAGAACTTCAGAACATGAAACTTCGCAGATTCAAAAGTGTTTTCACATTAGGCAGAAGTTGATTTTGTTTATATTTTATAACAGAAAGGCGACACAGGAAGTAGCAGACACGTAAATGGCATATCAAATCAATTAAAGAGACAGTTGTTGGAGTCTTCAGTGGCAGGAAGTAAGATTTTAGCAGGTTTCTATTGCGTTACTCATTTAATTCTGATGAAAAAGGGTTCCTTTGGTCTCACTAAGTGATCCCCAACTCTTGCTTCAGCAGTTGCAGAAAACGTAGTTTTCCCGAGGCTTCTCCACTTAAACCTCAGTGCTGAAGGAGGCTGCTTGGGGTCAGAGGTGAGGCTCTCGGAGAGGGGTCGGGAGACGAGCGGCTGACAGCCAGCAGACAGCAGCTCCGCAGGTTTCCATTACCTGAGTCACTCTGCTCAGCCACCAGTGGCCCTGTCACCTTAGAAGGAGCAGCGTTCTCAACTTCACCATGAACCCAGACAGGGACACCTGTTATGCAATATTCAGTGTACTGCTCGAAACGTCAACATCAGTGAGAATATGCAAAGTGACGATATCATAAGAACAAACACCATTCAGACATAAGCAATAATAAGCAATAATAAGCAATAATTCTCCCACGTGACCATCAGCATGCAGTTGCCTTGGAAACAGCACCAGCCACCACAGATTTTCTCACATCACAACAGCAAAGTGTGGCGTATTTTATGGAGATGTTATGCCAGAGACCAACACAAAGCAGATATGTAAAGTCAAAGGAAAACGAGAAATTTTTAGATGGTTTTGAGTCTGAACGGTGCCATGAATTTGCATGCAGTCCCCTGAGTCAAAAGTTATAAGAACCTTAACGGTCAAACAAATCTCTTTTGTGTATCTAGAGATAAAACTCCTTACCCATTGGTTTTTGGATTAATACCTCAAATCTGAATGGAGATTTTGGTCAGACTGGATTGAAAGTCTAAATAACAATTTACTTGTCCCAAATTCTCCGTTAGATTTTTGGACTTTGACGAAGCCACTAATGAATAAATATGGTTTGATATAATACACTGATTGGATCTCTGGCGACAACAACGTAAATGTAGGTTATAGTCCTGCTGTGAGGCAAACCTCTGCCCTGTCTCCAGGCAGCCTGAAGAAGCTGTTTTTTTCCATGATTTTTCTGTTTTCAACTTCACTCATCCTCCCATCAGTTCTAACCAAAATTGGTCCCACAGCACCATGACACCACTAACTTGTTTCCATGTAAACTTCTCCACAACTTCCCCCCTGACCTATCTGCTATGTTCCTTGGTGTTTATGCTGTTGTTTGTGCTTTCAGAGATTAAATCGCACACCAGGTAGCTTTTTGTACTAAATAGGTGATTTCTCAAGACAATTTGGTCTCGATTTCAATCAGGGATGCCATTGTGGAAGAGGGTTAAAAAAACACTTTGTTTCATTTCTGTGTAAAAATTTTGTCACCCACATGCTGCTTTCTTTTGACTTTGCGATGACCTGTGACATAAAATGCTACTGAAATATATTGAGGTTTGAGTTTCAAATACAAGAAAAAAAAAACCTTAAGTTATAAAAGTCACTAAATATTACCCAGCTTAAATACAGGTTTTTATTTCTGGTGTTTATTGACTGTATGTCATGCCCCAGGGGAAAAAAGGAAGAGTAACAACCATATAAAATTACCTGTTCAGTCCATCAATGCCTCAATCTTATCCAATGTAGCATCAACGAAATGTTAACAAAATGCGCGGCGATAATAAACCTGGAATTCAGTGACAACAAAATAGACCCTCACTGTTCTCTCCAACCCACCAAAGAGGGGACTTGACAAAACATTACAGCAAAGTTTTTACTAACCCAAGCTGTGCAACGTTAACTATCCTAAATCACAAAAAATTTAAAATCTCAAGATAGATCACAGTTACAGGAAGGAATATTCAGAGTACTGGATATGTTCTCATGTTCTTGGCTATTGTCTTGGCTAGAAAGGCAATCCCATTGGCTGGGGATAAAGGAGAGCCATCTGTAGGTCCTAACTTCCTGAAATTAAGCAGATGAAAGGACGGAGAGTCGGATCATCTGTACAGTTTTACAGATTCACTGTACAGGAAATGTGAGAGAAACGTGAGGTGTAATTTGGCTCATTGTTCCATGAACAGCGGTGTTTATACGATGCAGAAGCCTGCATGTACTTACACTGCAAACACTTCTGGAATGACATTCTCTTACCATTGACGAAAACAAAATTTTATATTTAAATGTAATAAGATATTTAAAAAAAGTAATAATAAAACGACCTTTTGCGTTTTGTACAGTGCAAACTGTTTTAATAGCTACACCTCATAACTTTGTCATCAAGAAAGAGTAAGCAAAGATTCAAAACAGTGATATCTTCATCTGGTGGATTTTCAAAATAATAATAATATCATAAAAAAGGTATTTCAAATATTCTTTCAGCAACAAATTACACAAAACTATTATGCTCTATGCAGAAAAAAAATCTGAATACAATTTACAAGGGGAATAAAACTACATAACAAGTGCAAATTTTAAAGAAATCCTTATTTTAAAATTAATTCAAATAAAAGAGTCTGCCTAATCAGTTGTAATGCAACAGCAAGGATTGGGGTGGTATCTGAGGCCAACAGCACCTTTTCCATCAGTAACTCTCATGTCGATGGGCATTTATATGGCTGATAAAGGTTAGCATTTTTTTAAATAAAATCCAATTTATCCTTTGAATGAGAGCTTTTTTTTTTTGGCTTCCAAAGAATCGTAGAAACATTTGATGAACTTGAGATCAAAATCTAAAAGTAGATCCTTTAGCTTTCTTAAAACGGTTTGATTTCAGAAATATTTATTACATTTTTAATATGAATAATTCTAAAGTTTAGAAACATCTTTGACCTGATCCTGCTTGAAAACATCAAGTCGAGTTAAATTGCTTATTTTCTTCTTCTCTAAAATAAAATATGTTTTAAAGGGCGTGTCAGACCGAAAGAATAAGTCACTTTTGGAAAGTATGAACAATGACAGTGATGCAAAGTTTAAGACAGGCCAAAAGAACCACTTATATCACTTTGATGAAACGCTCTTTAGGTCACAGCTCCCCTGGGAACAATCTGAGGGAGAACAGGTGGAACTAGATGTTTTAGATTATGAACTAGAAACGATCAACTCCAGTAAATATTCATGATGACGGTGAAGAATTTGATGCTCCACAGATGACAGCTCCAAGCTAGTTGAATGGGAATCCAACATTTTAAGCAACTGGTTTGTTTGTCCGTTTTGTTCCAGCAAAATAAATAAAAAAATAAAGAAAACAAAAACATTATTTGCAACAGTGATTTTCCATTGTGGAAACCAGCTAATTTTCTCAATAACGCCCTGAGAAGCAGCTTGTTTTGTTTTTTTCAGACCGGCTGACCAAACAGTCTCTGCTCGGCAGCCGTTACTCCAGCCTCCGTCCTCCTCGGCTCTTACCTTCAGCTTCGCGGCGTGTCTCCACCAAAAGCTGCCATGACCGGCGGAGGTTCTCAGAAATGTCACCCGGTTGAGCTGTCCCCCATCTGAGACGCGCCTGAACTCACACGGCGAGTTTTCGGGCTCCCGCTCATCGTCGTTGACTGACAGTGTGCTGGAGATGCTGCGAGACGCGCGCGCGGGGCAGATGTCGTGCTGCCTTCAGGGTCCGCTCGTGAGGTTTTGACAAGTGGCGAATATCCGCGCCTCTACTTGAAAATAACACCAGCGTGACTACTTTCTGTCATTATTAATACAAACCAACGTATTTAACCAACTGGACCGCTTTTCTTTTAGCAGCAACGTCACATATAAATGGCTGTACAGACGGTCTAAAAGTCGCCGTTGGTGCACGTGAAGGCAGCACGAGCCCACAACAGTTCTCATCTGCACCGTTTGCTCGTCTTTGTGTTGAACAGACTGCCTCCTGTGGTCGCAGTACTTTGACTTTAGATATCTTTACTCCACTTAGTCAAAGTTAAAATATGGTTTCACATGCAATATATGTAAAGCTGAAATTAGTTTTAAGTCACTCATGTGATTCAAAGGCAGAACAATAACTTTTAAATCAACTCGCAAGTAATAGTTATTTAGTTAGTTTCTTAGTTATTTACTAATTACTGAGTAGTTATGATTGGTCCAGATATAAAATAGAACAACTTTGAATTTGAAAAATGAATAGAGCAAAACTCAGACATAAATGTCACTCTTTGGTGCATGTCACCAAATTATCGGTTTTAGTAAATAAATCCTGCCAGTCTGATGTATCTAACTTAATTTCACAATGACACAGTTGCACCCAAATTAAATTCAGAACACATCACACAAAAACAGTTTAAATATTTCAATACAACTAAAGTGATGAGGAGCTTAACAAAGTTCAACACCAGACAGATCCTGCGATGACGATTATAGCAAGGAGGCCTTGGATCTTCTACTACTTTGAACTGGTTCCAAAAGAAGAAGCGCACAAATTTGGTCAGAAATGATGAGATTTTAATTGCTGCAGACATTTTTTTTCTAACCGCTGCTTGTTGAGAAAGGTATTAATTTTTGCTCAAACGTAGATAAAACAGTTTTCAGTACAAATGGAGACATGCAAAAAGCCAGTGAGCAGCTATAAGAAGTTATTGACTGCTTTACATCAAAACTATTCTCCAATAATAATTGAGCAGAGTAAAAATTAGTTTTGAAATGTCATTTTATTTTATTTCTAAAATGGAATCAATAAACTGGACCCTCCATTTTACCCCCAAAAGAAACATTTCTTGTCTTTTGAAAATTTTGTTTTAATGTCTGTTGAGAGATGCTGTTCTGATTTCCTTTTAGAAACACATTTCTTGGTTGAATAAAATGCATTTTAAATCTAAATCTGAAAGGGATCCGACCAATTCTGGACTCCAACTCAACTTTGTTTTTGTTTTTTTTTAATGGTAAACTGTATGTTTGCACTGCATCGTAGTTATTCATTTCTAATAAATGGACATTAAAATTGAATTGCATTGACATAAATTTAAATGACCTGGACTGAACCAAATTATATGCCATTTAACTTCATTTGAAATGGAGCCGTTTGTAAAACTCCTTTATGTAACCAAACTAAATTGGCAGTATGAAAAACATTTGATTATCGTCAGCTTCATGTGGTTTTGCATTTTGAAACAAACGCTTTTGTTTAATTCATGATTCGCGTTTTCAACAATGCAATGTTTTTATGAAGCTACAATAATATCCTGTTTTCCCACAGGTAAATCCACCTAAGAACAAATGTAAAGTATCAAAAATGATTCCAAACTAACAACTGCACAAAGTAATGAGTCAGTAGTAATATCGATTGGTGTAGTGCAATATTTTATTATGTCCTGACCCAGCAGCTACTTTTCCGTCAGAAGCTTAAACCTACGAACTGCTTCTGAGCGGCTTCACAATGACAGAGCTGCCAGTGAAGCGTGTAGGGAAGAAGTCATTTAAGAAGCTGTTCTTCAGCCTGTGCTGGAAGTGGACGTATCTCACACCGGCTCCGTAGCTGGAGAACACGTGAGACACCTGCAGGCCGAAACAGGCAGTGGGAAACCCGGTCACAGGCGAATCAACAAATGGACGAGAAAAAAAAGAATCGTACCTCCTTCCAGTTGTGGGAGTAAACGCTCCGGTTCTCTGTGGGCTTTGCTGTGTGCTCTGAGATGACTGTTGTTTTGTCTGCAGCCAGCAGCTTCACATGCAGCTGGTAGATGTAATCGTGCAGCTGACTTTCTTCGTACCTGAGGACGTTTAACACACGACCCACGAGATGCACGACGCCAAATATTAGTAAGCCACTCTGCGCACCTAAGTAGGAGGCTAGTTGTTGGGTTCATTAAAAGTGATCAACAAAGTGCATTCTGTGAATATTATTTTTTTGAGTTGGGGTGGAGGAGAGTCCTAGGCGACCTACCAATCTTGAATGACTATTTCAGGCTGAAAGGTATCCAGCAGCTCGTCCCACAGCCCCTCTGCCTTCAGGTCCACAACCTGCTCCAAGGTGAACCAGCTGAGGGCAAGTGCAAAACGGCACAGCGGTGAATTGTGTCCTGCTGCTTTTTTTAAATTATTATCTTTTTTTTATCCACGGTTTAGCTTTAATAGCAGTGTGTACAGTATAGTTATTGATAATCCTTGTTGATGTTCACCTGTACTGCGGCAACCCACAGACCACAACGCCCTCTGGGATGCCGCTGGTGTCGTAAGGCAGGACCTCTGTGTTCGTGGTCCAGCCAGCAAAGTCACCTGAGATTCAAAAGATTAGTGGCCAAAATTTACAATTTATTTATTTATTTTTTTTTTTACAAAAAGAGGCTGATTAGCTTCGTCTCTCACCTTCAGGCTGAAAACGAGGAGGTCCATCTGGAGGCGCATCTGGGTACTCAGGCTCAGGCGGAGGGGTGTCCTTGCTAAATCCTGTAGGGAGAGAGGCAAAGCACCACTAAGAGCTCTGGAATCCCAAAGAAAGCATCACCACACAACAACAACAGCCCTATTCTTCTGAATAGGATCGTCGATGAGTCAAGCTTGAAGACACACCTCGGCTTTGAAACGAGGAAGCTTTTAAGCCTCCAGCCCTCCGAACAAATATTTTAGTCACCCCAGTCACGCCTTATCCTTCTGTCGCCACATTGTTTCAACAGGATTGCATGAACGCACTGTTACAAACCCGGGCCTCAGATCATGGTCTTAACATTTCACCCGTCCTTTCCAAGAGGTCCGGAATGAAACTTTCGGAAATTTGAAAGAGTAATGCAACTCAAGGCTGTTTTCTATCCCCACCTGGACACCAACTCGCCCCCTTCCCTCCCTTCACATTTTCTGAAGAAGTGGTAATCAGTGTGACCTGAGGTCACAAACAGCAGGAAAAGTTCACAGAGCTGACATCTCAGAGAGTCTTTAAAACTGTGACAGATTTGACTCTGGACGCTGACTGCTCCCCTCAGAAAAGAGACACAGAGCCAACTTCGCATCTTGTTACTTTGCAGAACTCCCCAAACCCCAGCAGCCTGCTGCGTCAGTGACGTGGTACCGATAGGAGCCGGGTTCTTCAGCAGGTTCCGTCCCAGCGGCTTGGCTTCATACACGGACTTCCAGTCCACGGCGTCGGGCATCGGGACGCCCTGGAGAGCCCACTCCGCCTCGCACTTCTGCTTCCACTCCGCGGCGGACATCGCACGTGAACAGGGTTTCCGTGTGGTCTCGCGCTGCTCCGAGGGAAGCAGGAAGCGCGGCGCTGGCGCATCGACGGCCCCACCCAGCTGAGGACTCTCTTAAAGTCACAGCAGCGTGGAAAAACCCGCAGGACAAAATCGGAACTAACTGGAGATGGAACTGCCGAGTCTTAAAGGGGAACCGAATCTTAAGGAGGCGTTCACTTCAGAGAGCCGCTCAAAAAGAGTAGTTCACTTTTGAAAATGTGCATATTTCTAAGAGCAAATATAGTTATAATAATAATAATAATAATAATAATAATAATAATAATAATAATAATAATAATAATAATAAAAGTTTTTATCAGTGAAATTCACAAAGAAATAGAATCACTGAAATACAATTAATATTCAAAAGGTGCCGAATAGAACCACAGTAAATTCTTGCAGCACATCTGTAAACACAAACATAAGTCGAGTTGCTCTGACTGGATGTTTTATTATTTGTCAGCACGAAAAGCGGCACAGCCAATCACATTGCAGCATCCCAATGTGCAAGAGGAATCGCTGAGGTTCAAACTGAGCATCAGGAAAGGGAGGCGTTGACTTTAATCCTATTACACACACACACACACACACACACACACACACACACACACACACACACACACACACACACACACACACACACACACACACACACAAAACATCAGCTTAAAAGGACAAGCTATGAATCAATCACTTGAACTCACCAAACCATGACAAAGAGGCTCAGGATGGAGCAATTGATTATACACCTGAAGAGTCCAGTTGAAGCATATTCTCAAAATGTCTATGACGTTTCAGTCTAATCAGTGCTACTAGCTCTCTCTTTACTCACCTTTACTGCATCCAGAACCTTTGCCCCCACAGTATCACTCCAGGGTTGTAAGAGTCCTGAGCAAAACCTTTGGTCCATGTTGATTTTCTCAATGTGGACCGTTGAGTTGTAGGAAATGCAGTTATCTTTTAAGGGGTTAGGGTTCCCACAATTAAGATAGTGGTGACAGAGATAGACCCATGTGCATACAGGGTCTTAAGACATAAGGTGCAAGAAGGTTTGTAGAGATATCTTGTGACTTACAATCCATTTTGAACTCATTTCGATCTGGAGAATCAGAACATAACACATGGCATAACACAAGTAAAAAAAAGTGAAATAACAAGAAATTTAATCTCATCTTTATTTCTGAAGGTTGGAATAGAGACCTGCCTGTTGCAGTGCGCTGCAGACCACTAGATGGAGACATTGGTATAGCATTGCAGAAGGCGACTGCCCACCATCTGCCACTCAGGAAGTTTCCATAATGTGTGTCACAAATGAAACGACGTCTCTCCTAATAGGCTGGGGAAAAGAACCAGACAGTTAACTAAACTTAACCCAAAAATCAAGGAAGTTTGTGTTTAACTGATTATTTCTCTGTTGCAGTAGTTACTGGTAATTGACCTAAAACGGTTGGGAGATCTTTTTATTTCCCTTCAAATGGTGAAACAATTTCCGGGGAAATTGTTTCCCCTTGCGGACTGAGCATCAGTGTTGAGTATGTGGAAATGCCAAACCTTTTTGAAAATTGTATTTGAACAAGCAGGCTTTTGCAACTACACTAATTATTTTTTCTCTTAATTTATGGTGAGGTCCACAGAGAATGGCGAATGTCGTTAAAGGCATAAAACAACATCAGCCAATATGTTTTCTCAGGCCTTGAGTTAGACGGTTGCTCTGGGTTTTCATGTTACTCAATGACATCCACTTCAAGTACCCGCGCTTGCGTCTTTTTATGCAACTTCTTCTTTTCTACTCTACTTCTTCACCAAAACGTTAAGGACACATAGCACACTATGCTGTCATGGGAAACAAAACAATAAGCTAGAAGACTAATTCAAAGAAGCTAAAGAACAGTGAGTTAATGCAAAATACCTTAAAAAAAGCATAGCGCACTATTGAGTAAGATCACTTTAAGAAACAACCAGAAGATCGAGCCGCTGGGGTCTTTATGTGTGAAGTTTGCATATTCTCCCTGTGTGTGCATGGTTCTCTCCAGGTACTCCACATTCCTCCCATACTCCTAAAACAACTGTTAGGGTAACTAACCAATTTAACAGACCAATGTTAAATTGGTCTGTTAAATCATCCTTAGTGTGTGTGCATGGTAGTTTGTCCTGTGTGTCTCTGTGTTGCCTTGTGACAGACTGGCCACCTGTGCAGGTTGTACCCTAATTTTGGCCAATGAACTGGTGCCTACCTGCTGAAGGTAGCCACCAGTTCTCCATGGCCCTGAATGGACAAGCGGGTATAAACAATGGGAAGCTGGATACTTGGCAGCCATATTGGGTTTGAGAGACTGTGTTGTCAAGAAACACAAGCCTGACTTTAAGATGGATCCCTTTGTGTTTCACCTCAGTTGTAGCTGATTGTAAAATTGGATTACAACTTGCTGTGATCTATGGTACCATAACATACTGAGATCCTACGAATTGTCGACCGTTTGTTCATTCAGGTGAAGAGATGCACATTTTCTATGCTAAAATAATGCAATTCCTCATGCATTAGTTAGAGAGGGTAAAGCCCATCTTGTTAGCATTAAACCTTGCATGGTTAACTTGTTAATGCTGTGGGAATGAATGAATGAGGTAGAGGACACGCTCCATCCACGGTTTGTGTATCAGCTTTGGATTTGAGAGCGCGTTTGCAGAAAAACCTTGTTTGCGGAGTTTTGCGACCTGCTAAGCCGGAGCAAAGACCCAGGCTGAGATGAATAGAAAACTGAGTCGATGAAATTGAATCGGGCTCCTGCTTGGGTGGGGGTCGCTGTCCGACCGGACGCACATGGAGCTAGCAAGCCTTGTATAATTATAGCGTCGCCCCTGACCATGATGCGTACGCATGACTTAAGTTTTAGTGGGTGAAGACTTTGCACCGTGACGACCCTGCAGAACCAAACTCATAGGATACACAGTTCCAATCTAGTTTCAAACACTTGATGATTTTGACAAAGCCTAAAACAGTCAGATGATTTGATGTCATGCAAGAGAAAGTTTGTCTGCAGGAATTACCCCATTGCTCTGTTTGATGTAAGACTGTCTGCCAGTTCCTCTCAGACAGGTGCTGCACTGACTGAGAGATTTAAATATAGTCTGTCATAAAGGCATTATTTATAGCCCCTTCGTACGTCATTTTTGTAGTTGCCCAGCACATAATGTATCCATGCTTGTCATGCTTTGATGAAATTCACCTATAATGCCCTTTGAACAGAAGAAATGCATTGATACGTTTAACAAAGGCATTGAAATGACATAAATCTTTCTATTCCTGAACCACTTGAGCTAATTTGTTCTCACTTAGCAGTTAAGCGTAGCCCTGGGTGCAGCTGCAGCTTGACACCAAGCTATTCTGACACCGGTCAGGCAGTTGGCCAGGATTCCTTTCAAAGGGTCATGGTGCTTTAAGAAAGGGGTTCTGCAGGGCTTTGAAGGGTTGCTCACTTCCTCTGAGAAAACGTTCCAGCCAACAAAACAAAAACCAAAGATTCAAGTGCTATTTTCTGTTTTCATTGCTTTGAATTCTATGACTTACTCTAAGTAAGTTAATCAAAATCATTTAAAACCTGCTGCTACATTGTACAACATGAGTAATTAGGGGAGTATTTCTGTAACCTGTTGGGTGTTCCAGCGTACAAGTTGCAAGGATCGTATCACCACCTTGTTGCATAACCATCCAAAACTGGAATTATTCAATTGCTGCAAACATTGGCGTCAAATCTGCTTGTGTCGGTTCCCCTTCCTAGAAACTAAACCTCTAAACTCAATTTGAACGATGCTAACCGTTGCGGTACACATCTTGGAGTTCTTCAAATTTAAAAAACTCCCAAGCCCGAGTAAAAACCCTTTGCCTTTTTCCTCCGGCTTAGGCTTGGAAGGTTGCAAAAGACTTCTTGAACGATGTATTTTGCACAGACAAAACCAAAGCTAAGATGCTTTGCAATAAAATACAGGAAGTCAGAACAAAGAACTATTAACGACTGTTAGGCACGGTGATGGAGGGCTCATCATTTTGGTTCATTTTGCAGCCGGAGTACTGACACTTCTGCAATATTTTACTCAATTCTTTCTAAATATAAGTAGATAATTAAATCATGGCCATAACAAAACATGTCAACAAGGAATTAAACCGTTCCAACTCTCTTCTTGACATGACGTAGGACTTCAGCAGACTGTTGACTAACTGAACAGTTCCTAATCAAAATAATATAAAAGAGGGTTTTAAAAAAACATTTGAGAGACTGACATGCTTACTCAAAAGACGATGAATTCAAGATTTTGGAAATAAATAGCATTTATTTCAAACATTTTGAATTTTCACCTTGGATTTTGATCCAAAGCCACTTCAAAGAAGCTTTTGGTTTTCATGTTGTAAACATGCTAAGATTTTCTAAGCTTTTCCACATATAATGTGACATTTACTATGAGCGTTCAAGAAAAATATTTTAAATAAATGGATAAAAGCATAAGTATAAAAACCTGCAAACTGATACCTACCGGAAATAAAGCTTAAGTGTCCTTGTGGTGCTTCCTTATTTGCTTTTTTTCTCGACTAAAGCCCACAGAGAGGTGAAAGACAATCTCAAAACAAGCTCCTTCCAAGTACAGCGTCAAGAAGTTAAAGTCCCCAGAGAATCAGTGTCATTCCAAAAAGTTTAACAAAAGTTTAAACACTGCCAAAAATAAGGGAAGTGAGGTTTAGATCAAGTGAAGTTTTACCCAAGACTTTCAGAATAGGAAATCAAAAATTGATCGGGATTTAAAGTTCAGAGCTAAACCTTACAAAAAAACAAAAAAAAACCACTAGGACAGACCCGAAGACAAGAGATGTCCTGATTGTCTGATGGACTGTGGTCATGTCAAGACATGCGCTGCAGATACTTAATCTTGTACATGCGAAATTATTATTTTTTTATTTTATCTTAACATGTCAAGCTTTAGAATGAAACCGAGCTAATTGTAAACTATAGGCTTAGTTCATGAAGTGGTTGCAGAAACCTGCTCTAACTTGGTGACCTTTGACTTTGTGCAGGACAGGCAGTGGACAGCTGGGTAACCTGAGAAGAGGTTACATGGGGAGTGTGTGGGCAAACGGCCCTGTCCGCTGCGCCTCCTGATACCTTCTGCGCCAAAAGCAGGAACAAGGAGAGAAGCTGACAAAATACCGTCGGAGAAACAGTGAGAGCTGTTTTGTCTCAAGATCTTTGGCTGCGACGAAGTGTGAGCTTAGCAGGGAGGATGTGATCCCAATGTGGCGGGTGCGCGCGGACGGGAGCAGGAATATCACGAGGAAGCAGAAGTAGCAGGTGTGAACCAAGCAGCTGCCCGTGAGCGGGGGGGCCGGGGTATCCCACAAACACAGCTGCAGGAAGGATCCTGGGGTCATCACAGTTTCAACTCTAAACTAATGGTTCAGCAGTTAGAGATTCTATTTGACAAAAAAATATTTAAATAAAAAAATATAAATGCTCTTTGGAAACCACATTTCCAAAGAACATTTCCAAAGATTGCAATGCTCATTTCCAAAGAGCAGTGCAATCTGTAAAGACGTAAAATGAAACTATTGTAAATATATGGCAGGCTGATTGTCTCAAAACAGTAGCAGATAATGGTGAAATCATTATCTTCTTGCATCAGCAAGAAGTTAAAAAAAAACAAACAAGCAAAAAAAAAAAAAACCCAGACATAATGAGAAGAGCAGCAAATAAGCTCTTTGTCTTTAAATTGAAATGCATCACAGACTGAAAGTTCACAGGTCAGTGCTGCTTGAACAGATTTGGTGTATTTGCAGATAAAAGCTTGTAAATTCAATGAAGTGATTTGATTGGTCCAGAGTTGAACTTTTGCCCTCATCGATACAGCATTCGGACTGGATGCACTAAATTGTCTCTGTCTTTGTTTTGTTGTTACAGAAGTCGTAACGCTTAAAAAATGTAAATAACTCATTAACTTTACTGCAGAATATGTTACATTTTACTCATATCATTAGTGAACATTAATGGTTAGGGTTCATGAAACCAAATCCATCTGCTATTTCTTTTTTACGATGGCAGATTAATTTGTTGTGAGCACCTAAATTTACTTTAGTACATGACGAAGGATGAAAAATCCTCATGTCAAGGAGGATTTTATTGAATAAAGGAGACTTAAAGGGGCAAGCATTCGTCTGAGAAATGACCAAAGAATTGCAGGATCTCCTGTTTACAAAAAAATATTTTTAAATTAAAAAGTTGAGAGAAGCAGTCACATAGCGACAGCTTTCCCCAGATAAATACTTTATGCAAGTTCAGGCTTACTGTCTAAGAAGTATTGGATAGTGCACTTCACTTAGGCCTGCATGACGGTGCAGCTGGTAACCCTGGTGGCTTGCAGCAAGAAGGACCAGGGTTCACATCCCTGCCTGGGGTCTTTTGGCATGGAGCTTGCATGTTTGTAACTTCCTGGCGTCTGCCCAGATACTTCAGCTTCCTCTTGTAGTCCAAAGAATTGCTTGGCTAATTTGTTTCTTTGAATTGCCTCAAGCTGTGTGTGTGTGTGTGTGTGTATGTGTGTGTGTGTGTGTGTGTGTGTGTGTGTGTGTGTGTGTGTGTGTGTGTGTGTGTGTACAATAGACTCTTTGATTTTATTTTTTGATAAACTCCAAGAAGTAAAAACAAGCAAGTAATCCTGCCACGACAAACAGGTACACGCAACAGGGTGGAAGTCAATGTTGCATCTGTAAAAACATTCAACAAAAAGTTATTATTTTCTGGCATTAGGGCCACGTTTGAATAAGACAACCAGAAAAACGTTTGACATAAGAATTAGTTCTGCAATGCATTGCTTAACACCGATTACAAACACACTATGCAGTCTGCAAAACCTTTACTTTGATTTTATCGATTTATTTATTTTGCATCATCACAATAAAATGACAATACATTCTTTGTCTGAATGTATTGTGACGTGATAATAGACTTTGATTTTTGCCAGTTGCACCGTTTTGCTCTTATCGCAGCCATCTTGAAGTTTAAGGTTGGAATTCAGTCTGTTTAAACCCTAAAGCATGAGAAGACACCTCAAACACGTCACAAAGGAAGGTTCTGTTTCTTTGGCAAATACTGTCGACAAGTCCTCACTACGCATCATCCCTGAAATCCAGAGAAGACTTTGTATGATAAATAAACAGTGTTGCCAGGCAGCATCACTTTATGCATCTGCTATGCCCAAGTGAGAAGAAGACTGTCTAATATTCACACCTAACACAAGGATCCCTGTTCTCCCTGGCACGTCTGGCAAACCACAGGCTTTTTCTTGTATCTTTGCTTGCTGACCGCCCCTCTGCCCCTCAACCGTCGTATCATCTGCACCTCTAACTGCATTGCTCCATTACCCTTAAAGCCCCCTCACCCATCCTACTGGGGCTATGTATGGGTCCTTGTGGGAGGAGGGCCAGCTGTGGTAACCTTCTTGGATGGCAGTGTTGCAAAGGAGCCCCTTACATAAACTGTTCACAGTATCGGTTCAGAAACCAGCCAATGAAAGCTCAGCAGGCACTAAAATGGCCAAACGAATGGCAGACGTCTGCCCAGTATATAAACAGGGAGCAGAGACCTCCAGAGCTGGGTGACCCCTATTTTGGCTGTGGTGAACAGGATCTGATCCCAAGGACTGTTACCTCTGTTCTTGTCTTGTGCGCAGGTAAAAAAAAAAAATGCTTATATATATATATATATATATATATATATATATATATATATATATATATATATATATATATATATATATATATATATAAAACCCAAAAATGTTTTGATGTTAAAGAAGGTCAAGACAAGGTAGAGATATATTTACTGCACGTGCCAAACATTTTAGTAGCTTGAAATACCAGCCCAGAATTTCCACAGCAAAGGAAGACTTTGAAACCTGATGGCTACAAAAATCGCTCGGGTAAAAGTTACAGCTAGTCTTTGTGGATGTGCAGAATACGTCTTCCTAAAATAATGTACGAGGTTCTTCAATTTACTGAATTTTGCCACTTATCTATGTTTACTAAAGCTGACTTGAGATAGTACTTTAGGTCATTTAGGTCCTAGTAAAGGTGTTCTGCAGCGTTTCACTCTGCAGATATTTCTGTCATATTGGGAGTGCTCTCTCAGTGAATGGGGAAGTGCATGTTTAATAAGCAACCTATAAACCAGCAAGCAGTTTTGGCAGCTTATCTTTATGAGCTTTCATCTTTTAAAGTAACAACTAAACTTAAACAGTTACTACATTGAGTAAAATGTATTGCCGTGAACAACAACTAGAGAAATCAGAAGCAAAGTTTGAAGTTAAGGGGATATCTTTGTGTTGGGCGGGGTCTCGGAGCAGAAACGTGTCTCGAACTTGTTAAAATTATATCTCAGGCTCACTACAGTGACACCTGTGAGTAATACAGTCGCTGTCATCTGATCTGGTGTAACGGTGTTGTGTGTTTGTACTCGTGTAGCAGTGCGACATATGCTTTCAAAACTTTGTATTTTTTGCCTATAAATAATTAAGGTGCTCCCTGTGTAGCGTGAGTACATAAAGGGTATACAGTCAGATGGACTCGGGCTAAAAATACATAAAGATCAGGCGCCGCTCCCTCCACCCTCCATTTCAGCGTGACACCTGAGCCGGAGTCTGAGTGACACGTGTTACCAGGATTCCATAGCAGGCGCCATTTCAATTTTGCAGCTGTTCCAGAGAATATCTAAATCCTAAATTACGAGTCTGTTCACATCGAGCCAGATTATGTGTTCCCTTATGATAGACCCAAGATGAAGGTTTGAGTTTCTATTTAAGAAAACAGAAAAACAAAAAACGTTTTCCTCTCTCTCTAGTGTTAGAAAGCAATCATGCCTTTCGGAAACACCCACAACAACTTCAAACTCAACTACAAAGTTGAGGAGGAGTTTCCAGATCTGTCCAAGCACAACAACCATATGGCCAAGGTTCTGACCAAGGACATATATGCCAAGTTGAGGGACAAGCAGACACCAAGCGGTTACACTTTGGATGATGTGATCCAGACTGGTGTCGACAACCCTGGTGAGAAAAATGGAGATTCAACAGAACTAGTTCCATGCAAAGCTGCTGACATCTAATCTCCTCCTGTACTTGCTCCTATACTTCAGGTCACCCCTTCATCATGACTGTTGGCTGCGTCGCTGGTGACGAGGAGTCCTATGAGGTTTTCAAGGAGCTTCTTGACCCCGTCATCTCCGACCGTCATGGTGGATACAAGCCCACTGACAAGCACAAGACTGACCTCAACTTTGAGAACCTGAAGGTACCTGAAGCTACCGCAAAATGACTCTTAAAACAGATCTACATAGGAGATAACCATATAAACTGCAAATTTTCACTAGGGTGGTGATGACCTGGACCCTAACTATGTCCTGTCCAGCCGTGTACGTACTGGTCGCAGCATCAAGGGATACACCCTGCCCCCCCACAACAGCCGTGGCGAGCGTAGAGCTATTGAGAAACTGGCTGTTGAGGGTAAGCTATAATTAGTTCGAGAGAACTAGGAGAAATCCGAGACACAAGTGTTTGGGTTGTGTCAAATGGTGAACCCAGATAGATACCTCAGAAGAAACATGTTCATGTCCTTGTTCTGTTCTTTTAAGAATAATTATCTGTTAGGTGGCCATTACCAAAATCTAGCACCGTCTCTCTTTGCTGAAGCTGCTCTGACACACTGTCTGTCCCTACAGCTCTCACCAGCCTGGATGGTGAGTTCAAGGGAAAGTACTATCCCCTGAAGTCCATGACTGACGCCGAGCAGGAGCAGCTGATCAGCGATCACTTCCTGTTTGACAAGCCCGTCTCTCCCCTGCTGACCTGCGCCGGCATGGCCCGCGACTGGCCCGACGGCAGAGGCATCTGGTGAGTGTACCCAAATAACCCCAAACACTCATCGAAAACGTCAGTGACTATTTCTACTTTTCTTCAATAGGGGTGATGAGGTGGGGCTTCATCCTGTAACCGGTGGGTTACTAGTTTGAACCCCTGCTCCGTCTGTTTTTACTTGTTTTCTACTTGGGCACTTCACCCACCTGGCCTGCTGGTGGTAGTCAGAGGGCAGGTTTATTAATCATCACCTGCCCACTGACCACCACCAGGTGGCAGCCTTGCCTCCGTCAGACTTCCTCAGTAGTAGCTTACCACAATCAGTGGGTGAATGACTGAATGTGGCATAAGGCACTTTGGGGTCTTCTGAACTAGACAATGTGCTTTACAAGTATAAGCCATTTACCATTTTATTGTTTGTTTTCCCCCCATTTCCTCTTAGGCACAATGACAACAAGACCTTCTTGGTCTGGGTAAACGAGGAGGATCACCTGCGTGTCATCTCCATGCAGAAGGGTGGCAACATGAGGGAGGTCTTCAGGCGTTTCTGCGTTGGCCTGCAGAAGGTAGGTGATGAGAGGATTATTTTTTTCTAAATGTCTTTGTCTGAAAACGAATGAATAATTTTGCCCTAACTATCTTTGCACGATTCAAAAGATTGAGGAGATCTTCAAGAAACACAACCATGGTTTCATGTGGAACGAGCATCTCGGCTACATCCTGACCTGCCCCTCCAACCTGGGTACCGGCCTGCGTGGTGGCGTCCACGTCAAGCTGCCCAAGCTGAGCACACATCCTAAATTTGAGGAGATCCTCACAAGGCTGCGCCTGCAGAAGCGTGGCACAGGTACTAACAGACCGCATGACTTGGAGTATTGGTAGATCGGCACTGGAGTAAGACCCTAACAAGAGTCCAGAGATCTGGTTCTCAGCCCCTCGATCCTTTCTGTCCTCCTTTAGGCGGTGTGGACACTGCGTCTGTGGGTGGCGTGTTCGACATCTCCAATGCTGACCGTCTGGGCTCCTCTGAGGTGGAGCAGGTCCAGCTGGTGGTTGACGGTGTCAAGCTCATGGTTGAGATGGAGAAGAAGCTCGAGAAGGGAGAGGCCATTGACGGCATGATCCCCGCTCAGAAGTGAAGAGGGACATCTTCCTGTTTTCTTGTGACCATTCATGTGCAATCGAGCCAGCTGATGGGGGTGCAGAGAACAGCTGCTCTCCTAGAGACTTTGGCCTCCGCTAAACTCTTTCCTTTCTTCCAGCTTTTTTCTTTTCTCGATCATTTTGAACTTCTTTTTTTTTTTTTTCACGTTCTCCCCAGACGGTTGGTTACATCCTGGGATCAACCTCCACTGAGCTGGGCTCCCCTGGCATCACGTACTTTTTGTAATAAAAAGTGATGATTAATAAACCTGTTCATACTGTTCAATAAAAAGTGCCCCATTATGAAATGTTGAGAGTACTTTTGTTTGCTGATTGGTTTCCGTCGGTTGGTTCGTATATTGTCTTTTCTTTTGGCCAAACGTGAATCACAAAAGTGACAGAGGCTGTTATTGTTGGAAGGCGACGACATGCAAGTTTGTAGTGCCGACTTTAGCAGCTCTGCCTCCAACGCTAAAAAGCTGATTCTCCTGACCACTTTTCAGGCTTTTACGCTGTTGTTGATGCATTTCGGTCTAGCGTTGCTTCAATTCATCTGGAAAGTTCTCTTAAGGTCCCACTACTTCTGTTACTGCTGTTGATTTGCTGCTATACAGGAGTAATTATTATACAGATGGCTAGGATTTAGTTGAGCTTCAGCCGTTGGACGGACAGGCTAAGATTTGACTATGCAATCCTCAATTAGACAATATGAATTTATTGCCTGACACAGACATCACAATGGCCTGCCTCACATTGAGCTTTTTGGAAGGTTACCTGAAATCGACAGCTTTTAGTCTACTTGACGGATAAGGACGGACGAACAGACAGAAATAAAGACAACAAACAAAGAAAGTAAGGAATGAAGTACGGTATACATGACAGGGAAAGAATAGATGATACAAAGGGAAGAAACAACGTAAAGGTGAAAGGAAGGAAGTGATTGCAGACAAATGGAAGAATTGACACAAAGAAGGAGTAAAAGGAAAAACAAAAGGAAAAGAGACAAAAAAGGAATGGAAGTAAAACATTATGATGACAGAGAGATGAGAGGAGGGACAAAAGGGAAAGAAGAAACGGGACAAGAAAAGAACAAAGGACACAATTGAAATATAAAAAAATTAAGGGAAGGCAGATGATAAGAAGCATTTTCTTTTTCCACATGTATTCTGACCTAGAAACTACTAAAAATCAAATTTCAGGCCAGGCGTTTACAGATTGCGTGGGAATCCTGACTCTGTGGTGTAATGACAGTGCATAGGCACCGAATGGGAGCCAGTGGTCGGCTATGGGGGTAGGAAAGGAACAAAGGATTCAAAACCAGGGAAAATACTCACACCAGACACAAAAACAAAATGCCAATAATGCCAACATCAGTGAATTTTATTCAACTTCAGCTCCACGTTCTCTTCAGATACCACAACCACCCAGTCTCGGTTCACAATTTTGCTTCTGTGGGAAGAAATTTAACAGCAGAACAGAGTCAGACTGTGACTATTCCTACGTTTGTTTTGCATATAACATCAGCTCTTCTGAAAATGCTTTTAGAAATTAAGTTGGTGTAAAATACTGAGCCAACTGGGCTTGTAATACTGTTCAGTTCCCAACAACCAGACCGGACTCTCTTCCTCAGAAACTCCCACCAATAAAATACTCCTTTAAAAAGTCTTCACAGTAATTCTTCACACTTCCAAGACAATGTCACCCCATCTTAAACAATAATAGTGAGTTGTGTGACTCGAAGGTATAATGTTTTTTTTTTCCCACACACATTTGAGATCACACACCAGTAGTATAGCTTTTCTATGGCTTGCTTGCAACTCTGGGCTTTTTAACCGTGTCATGGCATCAGCAGGATTTGTGTGAATTCAAGTTAAATCTCTATCGTCAAACAACGAGGTGGAAGAAAGTCACTGTATCTCACTGGAGCCCTTCTGTTTGTTTCTGTCAAAAGGGGGTACGTTTTAAGGGGGAACGGGCTGGAGCTTCATTGAATAATTTAGCTTGTACAAAGTGATGGTGTCTGCGTTTCATAAAGCCTCCAATCCAAGATGTGCATCATAGTTCATTTTTCCCCCATCATAATCCAAACTCTGAAGTCATGCAGGATTGCAGATTGGTTTTGCTCCCCCATATCACTGACAGAAACAGTTTTAATCTAGAATTACTTCCCTTGTTCTAACTATAAATAAACCTTGAGCTCTAAGATATATACTATATTCATATATTTTATATACAGCCATCAATTGACTGATATAAATCCTGTTTTTTTTAATGATATTATTCTAAAAAATAAATAAAGTACCTGTGCAAATATCCACAAATTGAAGTGTTTCACATTTAAGACATTGGCGCCCTCCAGTGACTAGTACTGGGCATGACCTAAACAGGTACACTGGAGGGAGCTGATTCAAGTCAAAGCAAAGGGCATTGAGGTCTATATTACCTAATGCTAATATACACCACAATGAAAACCGTCCAGGAAGAGGACAAGGACAGACTCCTGGCGTCCATGTTGGTGCATGCTTCTTAACCTGAGGGGTGGGGGGACATCGGGTCCCCTGTTGGACTCCCAGAAGCAGCACACACCAAACAGGACCGAGAAGATTCCACACGACATGACAGAGTGAAATACGGCTGATTGTTTCCCTGTGGGGGCGGTGGAGGGGGGATGAAGTCAAAACACTCACTGGGACTCGTACAAAAAAGTTCCTGGTGTGTATGAAGGACCGGTGAGCTTAAGTCGAGGAAGTTGGTGAAGTCCTGATGGGTGTGAAGATGTGGGGGTGGAGGTGGGATGGGGTTGGTTAGTTTGGGTTACCATGAGTAAAACCACAACTGAGAGAAAGTTTTAACAGTAAATCAGCAGCCAAACAATATGACCTCTGTAGTCTACGCAAATATCACAGTACATTGTTCACTAAAAACAGGGAGGGAGCATAGAAAGCTTTCTCAGTTTTTTTTTTCTTTTTCTTTTTTTACATTAAATAAGTACTGTATGAAGGCGCTGGGGGGTGTTCACTTTAAAGGCAACTGGACTAACAAGAAGAAAACAGTATCTACATTGCCTCCATTGTGCCTGTCCAGGTACCGAATTCTCCCCTGATCTCCGCAGTCACCAATAATGGACTGAGCAGTTCTTATACGGGGCTACTGGGGTAAAGAGGTGCACGTTTGGGAGAGTACATGTCCTTAGCATGTAAAGGTGAGGTGAAATGAGAGGTGCTGCTGCTTGGCTGATCCATGTTTTGGTGTTTCCCACCAACGAGAGATGATGAGCAACGTGAGATCACATGGCACAGAATAGAGTCAATACAAGAGTTGCATTGCATTGATAGTACCCTTGAGTTGCAGTGTTGCTTGTTATTCTGCAGAGCATTGAAAGACTGCTTTGAAGGGGAAAGGTGGTGATGTGGTTCTGGTTGAAAGATTCCAAACATCAATGCGAACCAAACGTTGTCTCCCTCGTATCTGACATCGGACTGTGGGAGTAACAGATCTGGAGGGGAATCCCAGACACCCCGCTCACCAGACACTCATCAGCTCATTCTGGGGAATCCCGAGTCAGAAGGGAAACATAGTCCCTTCTGGGTCTCCTCCCAGTGGGATGTTACTGGAAGACTTTCAAACAGAGGAAGCTTGATCAAATACCCTAACCACCTAAGCCTCTACCGTCCTCTGCCCCTGCATGACAAGAGTTCTTCGACCTATTTATAATGGAGAGCGATCACAACAGAAATTAACCTCAACTGTAGTCGGAATCTGTCATTCTATCGGTATTCAAACAGGTAAAATGTTGTTCTGTTACCTGAGGATTTTGAGCAAATGAATAATGTCTGTATTCATTACTCCCTAAACCTAGATTCATCTGTTCCCACAATTTCATAAAACACTGTGATATTTGTTTAAGCAAACAAATTCTGTTTAAGAACAAGCTACAAATCATAATTTTAATTGAGTAAAGTTGAAAAGGGGGACAAAACCTCATCTCTAATGTTTAACTTCAAACGTTTTACAATTACAGTTTCATATAATTACAGGAGGATTCCAGAAAGAGTCCCGGAGCGACTGGAATTTTCTTGTACAGCACCGAGTGGTGCTTCCCAAGCCTTTTCTCCTGCTAGCTAGCTGGCTAAAGGAAGGGAATTCTTGTCAACAAACACAAAGCTTGTGTTGAAAGATATTTCCACTCAATGATCGCTTCTAATAAGGTAGCGGTGTTTGCAAACAGATGTAGCTTTGAGAGTTTCCTTGCCTGTCAGTACATGTAAAGCCTCCCGGCACATTGCTACCACGGCTAATTAATGAGCTGCTAACAGATCATTAGACTTAGATGTATTGTTTACTTAAGAAGTACCACTAAGTAGAAGGAGGCTCTTTCATATTTTGGCTTAGATTTGACACCATTTTACATGTTGACAATCTTTTAATACAGCCTTCTGGCTCTCTGATGGTTTATTTGACATTGCCTTTATATTTTATGACTCTTGTGGCTGGAATATTTTAATTTCTATCAGTTTCTCAAGTGCATGAATTCGTTTAGTACAGATTTTGCAACAGTGGCTTAACACCAACACTTTCCATATGTCAGGGAAGGGGACTAAATGTCACTGTAGCTATGAGAGTAATATACCATTCTAATATGAAATTTAAATTCTGATCTTATTTATCTCACTTTTTTAAAGTAATTATATTGGGCTAACACATTTTTGTGTTAATACTGTTGCTCTGTAAAACAAAAGTATTTTGCTTGTGGTTTTTGTGGGAACTGCATGGGAATCAATATGACCAAAGACAATTTATTTCCTTTGTTAATTTCCAGTTGTGAAGAAAGTATTGATGTTTATTATTATTTTCTTTAATAAAAGTAATTTGACCGTGTTATGGATTAGCAGTATTACAGTGATGATTACAAAAAGTTACTACGATGTGAGAATCTCAGACCAAACAATGCCAACTGGAAAGCTTTGCTCCACAAGTTCATGAACTTGGAAATCTCAGTGGCTTTTTGGACTTAGAATACCTCACCGATTGGCTACTGTTACTCCTCATTAGCCTCTGATTGGTCGTGACAGACACATCAACTCCCAGTGACCTTAATCTGACGTAGTCATTGCCAGACTGTGCCCATGAGTCAATGCAATGCAACCCTTCGCCTTTGCCCATTTGATCACGGAGTTGGACATGTTATCATGTATGCGGCTGTCCGAAAGAGATCAAAAGTGGGAAAACAGAATGAAACAGTACGCGTGACTGTCATATAAAAAGAGCTTAAAAAAGGACTTGGTGGTCAGTGAAGTCTGATAGCATAGGGATGTTTCTTTCTGTGGAGATGAGAGTGACAGTGGGTAAAAACAAGGATCAGAGCATAACAAAATAAAGAGTCATTATGGCTAAGAGTAGCAATAAAAAATATTCAACTAGATTCCATCTTATCCAGATCCAGTGGTTGCAGTAGCTCAGTGAAGAAGCTGGCTGAACCGGGTGCGGTGATTGGGTGGACGTTGGGGTGCTTCGGTCAGCGTTACCTTACTGCTCAGGTGTGCGCGAGTCTATGTGTGTGTGCAGAGGGGGTATTCCTGAAAGGGTCCAGCCCCTTGCCCCCGTCTCTGCTCCTCCCCCTCATGCCCCAACTACAATTCACTTGGTGCACACACATAAACGCACAAAAACACACTCTCGACGCAAACACTCCCTCTGGCTCAAAGTTCAAGGTCCTTCGAGATTTGGGTAGCGATGTCCCGAAAAGCTAGCGGTGCCCCCCAGAGTCGCGTGTAGCGTACCCCGTTAGAAGTCTCGGAGGTGCCCGTGGATAGATGACACACCTCCGCCTCAAAAGCCACGCGGCCCCCTGCCACGCCGTGGGTGCAGGAGAGCAGAAACGGGCCGGAATGGTGGACCTGGCAGCCACAGCCGAGCGCTGCCTCCCGCAGAGCCAGTACCACCTCTGCAGGGTCCCGCCGCCCACCGCCTCTCAGATTCCAGCCACGTCCGACGGCCCGGGGCTCGGACGCTTTTTGATACCCAGGTAGATGGCAACTAGGGGAGGACAGTTCCAGCGTTAGGATTCATGCGACTAAACTTTGCACAAACAAGAGAGGAAGTTTGGACGATACTGTCTTTGATGCAACCAGGCTGTACAACAAGAAGTGCTAAAACCACACATGCATTTTTTGTACAAGGAAAAAAAAACAACACACTTTTAAAAAGTGTATTTCTACAATAGGCATTTTGAGAACAAAGACACAATGAACCAACCACAAACGTGTACAAGTTTTGTCCCAAGTATCGTGTCTGAAAGCAGACTGAGCTCACCTTGTGACCGCAAATCTCCTGATTCCCTCAGATTCATTTGTGACCCTGAAGGGCAGACAGACAGAGTTAAGAACTAAATCCACCAGAGAACAATAAGCCTTTTAAATAATCCTCAGTTGTCAGATGAGACAGCATTCGGCAGTGGATACTGTACAGTGAAACCAAATGAGCTTCAAAACAAGCGAGTGACGTAAAGACCAGATCTACTTGTCCTACAGAAACACATATCTTCACTGTGGAAGTCACACTTCATACAGCATGCAGATATGAACTCAGCACTTTACGTTACCTCTGTGCAACTTATACATATCGATCACCTTGTTCCACAAAATGAAATCATAACACAGCAACGCTACGGTTGATGCATGAGATGACATTCTAAAACCAGTTGGACCACGAAAGTAAAAATAATCACTGTCTGAATTCATGCTAAAAAAAAACAAAACAATAAATAAAATAAAAAAATCGAGCGGGCACCTAGAGACGGAAAGAAGAAAATATTCACAAGCCATGCACACAACAAGCAGCACGTGAAGTCAGGCACCGGCGGAAAGAACTGAGTAAACTCCAGTGAGCGAAGCTGAACAGATGGGGGCAGCACAGGCAGACAAGAAAGAAGCGAGAGACATGGGAACTTACTAACTGTTTTTGATCCTTGTGGAAGAGTACAACCCGAGACTGATTTGTTTGAGCCCTGGCGCTTGGATGGGTCAAGGTTGACCCTGATGCCATAACGGGGTGGGGGGAGGAAGCAGAAGAAGATAAAGATGGAAAAAAAAGAGGGTTAAGAGCAGGGGGTTGGGGGAGGGTCATAGAAGAGTGTGTATCTGAGTCACAGGCGAGCAAGTGGCGAAAAAGAGCGCAGCACAGGAGCTGATTGGCAGGGGTAAAGCTGAGGTTTGATAAGATTAGACATGTGTGATTATGACGACCAGGAGGGAGAGGGGAGCGCTGGATAATCCACAGCCACAGGAGGGCTTGCCAAAAGGCCAGAGTGGATCAAATGTGTGGATAAACATGAAGCCATACTCAGACTGCGCTCAAGCTGAAAGGAAAGGTTTCAGGAAGTCAATGCTATAAGATGATATCAAACATTTTTGTTCCCCCAGTCCAGATTTTAATCTATCTGCAACAACAAAGTGTAGTGCTGTATAAAGTCAAAAAAATCCCTTGAATGCCAACAATTGTCCATGACGTTTATAGGCGTTTTATTCGGGAGTCTTCCCACTGGATTCCATTGGGCTGGGAACCATAACTGCAACATTTGTTGTCAGCTGGTGTGGTTCACTTTCACACTGCACTGTCAAAAAAAAAACAAATCCGTTTGAAAGAGCTTCCCCCCCTCGTCTGTGGTGGCGCTGTACCAAGAACTATTGAACGCAAAAACCACTGAAGAAGACACGGAGCACAACTTCCTTCTTCTCAAAACGCAAAGAAAAATAAAGTGGCATCAAATTTGAACAGTTGTAGGATTTCTCTTTTGTTCTTGACGAGTCTCTTCTCCTGATAGTGCGAGGTTCTATTTACCCAGAATGCCCTGCTCTTTAGTTTGCCCGCTGCTACTGGAGCAGTTTAAATGCTGAAGTAAAAAATGTAAAGCTCTTGAACGAAAGGAAACAGGATCTAAGGCGAGCTGGTGAGTAGGTGTGAAGAGAACCCATTGTTAGACAGTGGTGGTCAATTTGCTTTTCTGTCAAACTGCAGAAACTGTTTCATGAAGAAGCTCAAAGTCAGAATGTAAAAGAAGACAACGGTTTTGGCTCTGTCTCACCTCACATGAAAGCAGCAATGTCATAAACTCTTTCCATTAGTATTCAAGAGAGCAGAAGTTTCCCCTCTGAGCTACGTGGTACTCAGTACATATTCACCTGCGAGTGAGTTTGGAGGTCAGCTTGGTGAAGAGGTTGGAGGTCGCCCTGGTGCGTGCATGGGGCAGCGGGCTGGCATCGTGGTGGGACAGGGTGGGCGATGTGGGCGGGGCAGAGTAGACCGGCGGACCGCGATCCCTCAGCTGACCCCCGTGGAAGGTGCTGCGGATTGTGGAGCCTCGTGTCAGGCGGCATCTGTCCGATGAGGAAGAGGAGGAAGCTGCGCCGGCTCCGGCCATGCTGAGCGTGGAGGGGGACGCTGTGGGCATGCGGTGGCTCAGAGAGCTGAAGGGAAGAAGAGGAAGAAGAAACAACTGTGTCACATCACCCACGGAGTGGCAAAGTCCATCTTATTTTCATATTTCTCTATTCCCCACTGGATATTGAGGTTTGGTCCACACGCAGCCAAATAGCTAGAAAAACAAACACATTTCTAAGCATTTTGGCCATTCATCCACACAAAAACTAGTATCACTAAAAATTATTATTTATAAAAACCCTGTATTTGCACATAGATGGGAGATTTAGAATCCCGTGCATCACAGACGCGGACAAATAACACGCCACTACATCCACGTGCTTCTCTTGATATGATTCCTAAACAAGATTCGCTCAATTAACATCATATTCTAATACGCTATTTAAAAGTTTTCAACTTACATATTTTACAACACAAATGAACCTCCATGTTTAATTCCTCCCAGGAATTAAACAGCGGCTGTTTTGAAGAAATCCGATCGGTTAACACTACACTGCCCCCTATGGGTTTGGCATGAGTTAAAAGAAGCTCAACGGGATTATTAGTGCGGGTTCATGTGGATAAAAACTTATGCAATAAGAATTTTGTTAAAAAAGCCAAAATGGAGCAGCGCCAGCGACTGCTAGTGTCAGCTCTTTGATGGCTGTTTTAAGAAATCTTATATATAAATTTATTTGCAGCCTAAACAAGTCTAATAACAGAATTATCTAATGCTGACTAGGGTTAAACGCAGTGCAGAAGATCTACATCTGTATTTTGGAAACATTGGTATGAATCCGTCCTAAAAGGTTACGGGTGTTTACGCATTTTCATCTACTCTTAATCTTTCTTTTTATTATTATTGATTGTTCTTTTATGTAAATTGGGCTCAGGAGTCTGCAATAAAATCTGTCTAGAAGATAGATTTTGTTGCAGTTATGGTTGACATTTCATTCATTCATTTACTCAAGAAATTTGATGGAAACAGATGGCGTATCATTTACAGTCAACGTATATTTCTAATTTTCCAGGTTTTGGGGCTTTTTACAGTTTGAGCAGATGGGGCTCAGTCCTCCTTACCTGTTTTCTTTGCCATTCTGCAGAAGAGAGTGCCTGTCAGCACCGGAGCGGTCTGTGCACACGTATGTATTCCGGCGTGTCATGGTGCTTCCCGGGATGTTATTCTACACAGAGATGAACAGTTCAAGAGGATGACGTTACGATTCCTCAGATGCTACAAGCTGTACCACTGCTACAAAATCCCAAAACTATGGCCACGATCTTCAGCTGTTGGGGAGAGAGTTGTGTTGTACAAGAGACAACAACAAGAACCTGCAGCCATGACCCCTCTGTGGCTCCTCCCACATACTACATCAAAAAATTCATAAAGACACAAAGACTCCCACACCAACATCTGCAACATCCAGTTTACATAACCTGTGAGGTTCAGGGTTTTACTTTTTTATATTTTTCCCTCGTACTCGCAACACCCACCCTTCAGTGTCTCTGATTGGCTTCGACCATCATATGTGTGTGTTGTTGAACAGATATTCTTCACATGAATGACCGGTCTCCATTACAAAATGTGCACAAAACTTTGTCAATATTCTGCTAATGTTGAAAAAGCGCAGTTTTGCAATTGCAGTGTTTTTATTAAATAACACTCTGGAAAACTATGAGTCAGTTAGAAAAATGTTCCTTACAGTGTATCGAATACAACTAAACACACATTGATACGCCGATTTCCAGATTGGTGGAGAAAGTGGGGAACAGCATATCTGACCACCCAAAGCAGTGCCTGCCCTCTGCTTGTATTGACGACTGGCTCACTGACCGTGGTGGCAGTCATGTCTTTGCGGCGGTCTGGGATCTCAGACTTATTGGGGTTGTTGGCACTGCTGACCATCGGGCTGGAGGGAGGAAGGCTGTGGCTCCCCATTACGCTGCAGCTGGCTTTACGCGAAGGCATCCGGCCTTCCCGCAGCTCCCGGTCCCCGGTGCTGGTCGGGCTCCGCTTGGGGTGCATGACGGGCATGGAAGGCCCGCCTTTGTTGTGGAGGACAGCAGAGCACAGACACACAGAGACTCGCATAAGGAATATTCTGTGGACACGGTGATGCGCCGGATCCCGAGTAATGTGAATGTTTGCAAATGTGCTTGTGCTTTGCTGAAGACTGAATTTGTAACACAGAAATGCTTTCTTAAGAGTTTCTCAAACGATACTGGCTGCTGTCGTCTGAAGCGTTTGGCTAGAATATAAAAACATGGCGAGTTTAAGCCTCAGGATGAAACTACAGCAGAGAAGAGACTCACAGAAGTCGCTGTGCCGCCGTTGTCGGTGGTAAGTGGAGGCACTGCGCTGCGACTTGCTGTGGGAGGAGGAGGTGGAGGATGAAGAGGAGCCAGTGGCTGAGGAGTGCTTGTTCGCCCCATTGGTGATGGGGCTGGGTCGGACCCTCGCCAGAGACAGTGTGCTAGCACTGCGAGCATCACTGCTTTCCTGTGACGCCCAGTAGAAAAGAGAGAGGCGAATATCCAGACAGAAGGAGCAGCAGTTACTTCGTTAGTCTATTTAGGATCCACAACTAGCTGCGCCGATGCCACCGCTGTCTGACATCGGCCCACATATAATTAATACATCACTGAGGCAGATTTTAGACGATAAATAAAAACAGGACAAAAAGAAGAAAAGTAGCTTCCCTCATGGAAGAGCCGGTGCATTACATACGTCATGGCCCACTGTTATCGATCCTTTAAAATCAGATCCAATCATTTAAAACTTCAACGTTCCTAAAACGAGCAGCTGTTTCTCAGCACCCGACAGTCCAGACCCTCTGGACGCAGCAAAGCGCTGAGTAAGGGTCTGGTTTTTACCAGGAGCCATAACCGGAAACAGGAAGACAGGTGGATGGAAACAGATTACAGTCAAGTTGGAAATTCAAACCTCTGGATGTTGCTGAACACACTTAAATTGAAAATTGTTTGCAGCTGGTCAGAAAACGTTGAGCCAAAGTCGGCTCCAGAAAGCACCCACAGCGATTCTACAGCAAAATACAATAAAAATAGTTTGAAAACATCCCTCCTGTTCTCATTTTGTTGCAGCTTTAGTACAGTAATAGAATCTTTTTGTAGACCTTCATTTAGTGCAGTGACTCCCCTCTTTCACATACACACAACAGGGTGCCGCTCCTGCTGCAGATGAATAATTAATGCATTCACAGAAGGAATTCTCCAATTAATTATACAGTGTAGCTAAAATAAAATCAATGCTTGGTTTAACAAGCCAGCAAGCTAAGTTGCACTCTCTTTTTTTTCTTCCAATGTATTTTGATTACAGGTACAATAAAAACAAACAAAAATGTTAATAGCAAGGAAAACAAGTTGTTATGAACACTCATAGTTTTAAAATAGATATCAGCAGAATAAAGAAATCAATAAACGGTGCTAGTATTTTAGAAAATATTTGGTATTTGGCCAGATTAGAAATTTAAGATGGCCTACAAAATTGATCAATGAGTATGGATCAATTTCTGACCCAAGGGGCCCTTTCTGAAGCAAAAACTCGGTTGGCGACTGACTGGTTGAAAACTAAAAAAGTAAAGTCAATCTTTCTTCAGATTAGTGAATGCAACATGGCGCATGCTGCCAGATTGTGCTGGCAGCAACACTCTTTGGTGTGGATGTTGTTCTTGCAGGAAGACGTTTCACTGTTTGCTAGTTTTAGCAAAACTGATGATTGAAAACAAAGTGAGAGGAAGCAGAGTGAAGGAGCTGTTCAGAATCTACAAAACGGCTGCACATTCAGGTTATTACTCGAAATCAAATGTAATAAATAAAATTGGACCAATATTAACACTCTATCTTTTTTTGTCTTGTTGCTGTTTGTTCGGGTGAAGCTGGTCATGTGTCAGTGACAGTTTAACTGAAGCAAAGAGGCAATGTAATGTATATGATACTGTTACATATCAAGTATCGGCCAAAGCAACAAAAGTAATATTTTATATTAATATCGGCCCAAAATTCTTAAATCGGCGCATCCCTCGTTTCAATTCCTACATTTTGTAGCAAATCCTTCCAGGGTCGTTCTGCAGCGTGATCAGTAAAAAGAGGCAGGAAGCAAACAGCTGACTCACGTCGCCTTTTCGACCCAGCAGCAGGTAGGTGGCGGTGACCTCGTTGTATTTCTGATTCAGGAGAGCGTCTTTGATTTCTTCAGGGGTGAAGCCCATCCCAACCATCACCTCTGAGCCGCACACACAAGCAAGCAAAACCGACAGATTAGAGAGGAGATCACCGTGACAACAATCAGGCGGATGAGATGAACCGAGCCGGCTGACCTATGCGAGTCGGGTCGCTGTAGTCCTCCACGGGCTCTATGTGGGGCTTCAGGTCGTCCCCCTCGTACCCTGTGTTTATCCATTTGTCCTTCATGACTTGCTGCGTGGACAGAAGCACAGAAGCAAGTTTTGAAGTTTTGAAGAGCATTTCTACCGCCGCTGCTCTCGCATGCGTGTCGCTCCTCTTACCTCGAGCGTGCAGCGCTTGGCGGGGTTCAGCACCAGAAATCGGCGAAGGATGCCCTCGCAGTCGGTTGACATGTAAAAGGGCACGCGATACTTTCCCCTCAGCACGCGCTCTCTCAGCTCCTAACGGCCACAGGTGTCACACGTTTCACACAGTTACTCTTTAACTTTTGGTCTGTTGTGGAGTATTTCTGACTTGAGAGATTTACGGCAATGACTACCGAGATTTGCAGAATGAGCCTCTTTTTTAACACCCACAGAAAAACCCTAAGATTGTCATGTCACTATAGCAACTGGGTTGCAGCACAAACAAGCGATGGAAAGATTGACTAAGAAAATAAATCTTTGCTGCTTTTGTTTTCTGAGTGTTCCATTTGTAATTAAGATACATTCACTTCCTCCACAAGTTGGCTTGGTATTCAGGAATGCAATACATCCTGGCTCAATTAAAGCTGATCCTTTTGAAAAGACACTTTTTGGGTTTCGTCACAAACAGAATGGAGGTTTTATGAATTTCTAGATTTTAGTGAGTCTCTGCTGAGAACAGGATTAACCCACTGAGGTGTGGCCAGAGTGGGTATTTTAAAAGACGATCACTGGGCACACGTCTAAGAAAAATGGCTGACCTATGCGAGTCGGTCAGCTCTCCTCAAAGCTGGAAGTTTCGACTTAGAAATTTTCCATTGTTTTGTGCCTCTAAAAAGCACAGGTTCAGCAGTGGGTGGGAGTATTTCACCCCTTCCATTTCAACCGAGACAAGAGTGATTCTTGCCAGTCACTCCCGACAGCTCCCAGTTTGGACTGGGAATGTTCTCTACATCAGAACCAAATGTGATCCATCTCCCCTTTAGCGTATTAGTTATCTTTTGTTGTTGTGGAAAAGTCAATAGCCGCTTCAAGCTAGCGAACAAAATGACTTTGAATTTTGACATGTCCGTCAACCATTTCTAATACGATAATTCAAAATGCGCATGAGAAACAAAAAAAAAAAGATTAAAAAAATTACTGGTGGGATTTCTGTCAGGTCTCCTCATCAATTTTGTATTTTGTGGATTTGTTTTCTATAAAATGTTTCTGCATTTATTGAAAATATTTATATCCACCGCCGGCACTTTTTTTTTAAAAATCACAGCTTGATGGTTTTTTTGTTTGGTTTTTTTTTCGACTGAAGAACATGTGCATTCTTACAGCGTTTGACAACCACTAAAGTAAATACTGCTCATGTTTCCAATCCCTGGGGGGAAAACGCACCTTTAGATTCTGGCCGTCGAACGGCAGAGAGCCGCTGACCAGCGTGTAAAGGATGACTCCCAGGCTCCAGACATCCACCTCAGGCCCGTCGTACTTCTTTCCCTGGAAAAGCTCAGGTGCGGCGTAGGGCGGGGAGCCACAGAACGTGTCCAGCTTGTTCCCCAGCGTGAACTCGTTGCTGAAGCCGAAATCAGCAATCTTGATGTTGGCGTCGGCGTCCAGCAGAAGGTTCTCCGCCTGAGATCATTCAGAGCGAGCGGATCGGTTGGACAGGAGGCGGAAAGCAGAGCAGAAAAGGGACACGTTGTGCACATAGCAGCAACACACTCGAGGAGAAAAGCTGGATCAGAGTAGAGAACTCGTGGGTCAGGGTCGCAAAGAGGGGAATGGGAAACAGAGGACAGAAGAACAAATGAGTAGAAATGAAGAAAAAACAGGAGGGAGAGGAAACGCACACTGGACAGATTGGTGGGCTGAGGGGGGGAGGGCTGCATCCCGGACATGACTCATGCTATATGTATGTCAAAGTGTGTTTAGGGTCTGGCTTTAACCTCTTTACTCAGCACTGCAATTAGGATGCTAAAGCGCTGTTTTTAGACACACAGATCAAGATCACTCCCACACGCTTGACTTCCAAATACTTAGAGGAAACGAAATGGTTCGAATCTTGGACGGCGTCTCCAGGACTGTTATCAATTCCATTCATTTTCTCTTCCTCACCTTCAAATCTCTGTGGACGATGTTCTTGGTGTGGCAGTAGTGGACGGCAGAGACGATCTGCGGGGAGAGAAAACAGAAAGAAAACAGACGGAGCTGAAATGCAGAGCAGCAAGAGTTAAAGGCAGCTGCACTGTAAGGACTGAGCCTATTGAAGTTGATTAAAACACACAAAACAATGGAAACTGAAATCGAGAAAGCATTTTTGTGCACTGGAATAAAAAAAAACTTTCAAACTGATATGGAATATTTTTTCATTTTAAATCACAGCAGTCCATGCTCATCTACTAATCTGCAAAATGACAAGAGCAAAAACACCAGAGGCAGTTGGTTGTGTAACAATCATTTTTCGAAAATTATTTCTTCAACTGATTATTCATTATTCAAACGGTAAATGTACATAATCACAATACAATAATTTGACCTTTTTGAATTCTGCACCTAAAAATGAGGCATAAAAAATTGAAAATTACTAGTATAACCAATAAAAAACTGAACTAAACAATATTTAGCTCATAATAACTCATGAGAAGTAGCAAACGACTTCCAAATACGGATCAAGATTACCTGAATTAAACAAACAAAAAGTCACAATAAAATAAAACAAAATTTAAAAATCCACAGCCATTACAAGTAAGGACGACGTTTTCTACCTGTCGGAATTTGGCTCTGGCTTCGACCTCCTTCATCCTCCCATGTGACACGAGGTAGTCAAACACTTCACCTGAGAGGTAGAGCGTCCGGGTCAGCAAACACAGCCAGAGGGATTCAAGTCATTTAACAGCGTGATTAAACATGGCAGATAAACAGCATGGGACTCATTCACTTTCTTTTCTTGATTAATGTTTAATACAAGGCAGCTTCCACCACCTTTATTGTCCTCAAGCTGGCACGCTCCAACACACGGAAAACATAAAGACCTAAAAGAGCCTTGAAACTATACATTTTTATGCATTATGGTTTCTGGACCACATATAGCTTTTCACAAAACCTTTGAAACGTATCATTTAGCGTCATCTTTTCTTTTTTTTTATTAAATAAACAAGAATCTGAGAGAATCTGTGGTCTGATAAACGACGTTAGAACTGGGTGAAGACCAGCTCGTGTGCCAAAATCGTAGAAATGGCATCCAGGAACAAACTACCCACCTCCACTGGCGTACTCCATGACGAGGTAAAGGGTCTTGTCCGTCTCTATCACCTCAAACAGCTTCACTGTAGAGCAATTTAGCACGATGTTAGCAATGCTGTCTGGTCACACACATGCAAAGCAGCTGCACATATTGAACCAATAAGGGACGAGAGATGGATGGGAGGAAGTTGTCTTACCTATGTTGGGGTGATTTAAGCCTTTCATTATTCGTACCTCCCGAAAAAGCTGAAAGACAAATAGAGGAATCAATGATTGTGATGATGAATGAAATGAGGATGTGCCTGAATGGCTCCAAAGGCTCTCCATACGTCTATTGGCACAGTTTGTAATCCAGCAGACACAAAGGTGCTTCACTTCAAAAATCTGGGATCTGATCCGTCTCCAGCGGCGTTTGGTGTTTAAGATAATTGTATCACAACAACCCAAATAATTCTAACTCATGTATATAGAATTCCAATTTACAACTAAGGCCAACTCAAGGCACTTCACGTGGAAGTTAGATTCAAGGGGAGCAATTCTCGAAGCGAAGACGACTTCAACAACAGCAAACGCCGCACCCTGCATAAAACACAGGGTGTTTTATGCAGGGTGTTTTACTCATCATGAAAATAGATGAGTAAAAACCAGCTTCAGTTCACATCGCATTCATGTCACCTTTTACTCACGCATGTGTACCTGTGTCTTTACAAGAGACTACATAGGACTCCTTAGTAGTTTTGATAACAACAACAGATGCTTTGAGAAATCGGGTAGTGACCAGTACATTGACACTCTCACCTTCATTGGTCATGTCAAAAATATCTTTTTTTTTTTTTTACAATTTTGTTTAAAATTTCCCCAAGCAAAATGGTAGAGCTGCAGACGGACATCATGTTCGATTCCACAGATGATCAGCCTAAACTGTTTTATGGTAGAAAATCAATAGAACGTGGCTACCATGTGATGGTGTGTGAACGTTTACGAAACTGTTTGCGATTTACTTACCGGATTGAGAATGGATTGAGAAAGTAAGGGACAAATGTTTTCACCAATAAACTTGTGGGTTAATCCATGTAAATAAGTGAGGGATTTTGCATTTTGCTGGCACTCCAATGTGTAATTTCTTCCTCTACAGAGATCTTTTATAAAACAGTCAAGGACTAAAAAGGCAGCGAATGTGGAATTAGCAATTTGATCTGGGAAGAGCCTTTGAATTAACATTGTGTAAGAAGCTGTTACTGAGTGCAGAGTCAGAATGAGCTATTTTCAGTACCATCGACTGCCTTTCCATTACAAATATGTGCAAAACTTTGTTGATATTCCACTATCAACAGAACAAAATGAACAAACTGCAAATGCAGCATTCCATTAAATAGAAACAAATAAGTTGATGCAACATTTAAACAGCCATCTCATCCATGTACAACTTCCTGTCTTTTTTCGCCGTTTCCATCAGTAGCAACATCTGGTCTATATTTATGTGAATAATGTGATGTGAAAACATTTTCTTTCCTTTGTAGTTTTGTGAGATACGCTAATTTAATTCAGAAGAAGAACCAATTTGCTCCACAATCATCTTGTGTGTGTTTCAACAAACTGGTCGCCCTTCAACCTCTTTCGAACCAGACCGGAAGTGGACGAAACGAGACCAATCCCACCCAACGGTTCCTCTGCAGACGTGCGAGCGGTCGACCGGCTCGCGCCGACAACTCGACGCCTGAAATAACCGCGGTCACATTTAGAAATGGTTCAGTCCTCCTCGTCGCTTGAACGACGAGGAGGACGTGCGGCCAAGAAACCCGACCAACCGGCCTCTGCTGCGTGTCGCTGGAGGGCCTCGAGGCGGCGTCACGCGGGGGTCAAAACCGAGGCGGCTTCCCCTGGTTTTCATGTAAGCAGCCGCATGTTTTTGCTGGACCAAAGAGCTGAAAACAGACAGCTCTAGTCCGCGACAACAAGGAGGGGGAAAAGGGAGGAAAACGACGCCCGCTAAGCTATTCTGCTCCCCCTCCTCCGCCATTCAGTTCTTCTAGCGGCCTTCGCTAGCCTGATGTCACTGTTGCCATAGCGACCCATGCATTAAGCGCTTCCTCAGCTGCGCCGCAGAGGAATCTTGGGATATGTAGTACTTGAAACCCCCTCATCCCGACCCGTCGCGAGTCACGGCTGTGACGGCTCCTCCTCCAGCGAGACCTTTGACCCTCGTTGCTGCTGATTAAACTGCTGATTAAAATGGCAGCGGACGTGCAAAGCAAAAAAAAAAAAAAAAAAAAAAAAAAAAAAAAAGCTCTGTGGCGAGGAGGCTCCTCCTGCAAACCCTGGCCAGAGTTCAAATCAAACAGATGGTGACAAAGTGCATTGAAAAAAAGGGGAGTTGTGTGTGTGTGTGTGTGTTTTGACTTAAAAACACGAAATGACTGCAATAAAAAGAAATGGTTTTTGATTTGCAGTGTGTTTTCTCCAGGGTCGTGAAAATAAATCTCACGAGATTTATTTTCTTTTCTCCATTTGCAATTTTATTTCTTCCTTCATTGTTCTACGTCCGTCCCTCTTTCTTTCTCCTCTCTACATACGTTTAGCACTCAAATGATGTTAATGTGGGCTCTTTCTTGACTTAGGCCCAAAGAATATTCCCCAGCCTAAAGAAGTCCACTATTATTATTATTAATATTAATCTGGCCCATTGAAACACAGCTGAAAACTAATCAAATGACTGTAGCAATAAACTCAACAGGAAATCAGTTCATTTTGAATATTAATCTGTTAATATTCAACATGACATTCTGACAGATTCCAGCTGAAAAAGACTGAACTATGAAATTCTGTGTACATATTTTTTTCTGAAGATCAAGCTCTACTTTATTAGTTGGAGAATTGTAAAAAAATATTACGTGGATTTGGTCAAACAAAGCCTAAGAGCTAAAGATTAGACTTGTTTTGCCTTTGACTTTTTTTTATTATTTTTTTTTATCAAAACTAATCTTTTCCTTCCCATAGCTTCTGTGATACCAGTGACCTTGTGCAGTTAGAGTATTATCCAGGGTTTAGCACATGCAGTAAATACAAGAGCTTGTTGTCGATTTGTAATCCAGATCCTTCACTATTCACATGCATCGTTTTACGTCAGAACAGAAAGTGGATATTTTCGATCCGTCTTCTGCGCTCTTTCTACAAATTAGATTTTACTTCTTAAAACAGACAAAATTGTTTCAACATTTCAAACCAACTTAAGTGTTCACGTTTTCTTGAGAACGACTTCCACAGACTCCTATGGTCGTATTCGCCACAAAAGGATTAAATAAATAGGAAACAAAGTAACTCAACGGTCCCGGTTCTTTCAGGCTGAATGAATGCAATTGTGCAGAAAATATAGTTTTCTTTTAAATCACTTCCTCCAACTTTATTTAAGCGCCTCACCTGGGCTGAAAACCGTTAACCCAGGTTTCTTCTCGCAGTAGTGACTTCCATACCAAAGAGTGTTGCCTTTAGCTTCATCCGGATGTGCAGTATTGTACATTTTCTGAAAAAGTGAGATTTTTGATGTTGCCTGTCAACATCCAAGACTCATGAAGTAAAATAAAAAAGAACAAAAACAAACACTCTGCTTGCCAGCCATTTTCTTATTGTGTCTTCACATAAAATCCTCATGCATACTAATCAGAGGAGATCGAAATACGAGATTAGGAAACATGTAATGTTCCTGTAGAGAAATGACTTGCGACACAAAAAATAACCAGCGCTAGTGTCTTTTCACTGGCTTCAACGCAAGCACTAACAGCAGGTGGTAAGTCGCTGAAAACGATCCATTTTCTTCCACCTCAACACTGTTTCTGTGAAAAAGTTGCATCAACTACATCTGACGCTTTTGCAACAAAAACCTCCACGTTGTGTTTCTTTCAATCTTTCACAGTCCTCTTAAACATTTGCTGCAACCATCAAGGAATAAATTACTGCCACAAAAGGCGTAAACCGATTGCTGTTCAAAGTTCTGTTGCAAAGTTCTTTGCAAGATTGATACTGAATATAGCGATATTGCCATCATGTGAAAATGTTGGTATGTTGCACCATGTTTACATCTTGAAATGGCCGTATGAGGACGTCTGTTAGTAGAAACTACGGGACAACATTAGCTTTGGGGTTGACTGTGCTGCTCCAGCGTGTTTAACACCGACATGCTATTTTAGACTCGAGTAGCTTCACTGACAGGCTAACTGCTTTTAGCCCAACTTCAACGCAACAGCAATATTTTCCAGCGTCCAATCAGATCGGATTTTGAAGTCCGAATTAATCCCGGCGGACCAAGAGAAGCGGCTTCGCTGTTTGCTGACGTCGCTTGTGCGTTAGATTTGACGGGCATTGCAGAAACAGAGACCCTTTTGTATGCAAAAAGAAAAAAAAGAAAAGAGGATGTGATTAATTACATTTAAAAAGCATGTAATTAATTAAACAAAACTTACATGATAATGACCCAGACGTAGTTTTAATTTTTCCACTAAAGACGCAATTCTTAAAAAGGTGAAAAACGCTTAATTACAATCTCAAACTTTAAAGTCTCAGAAGCCTGCAATTTTAAGAGGCCACAGAGATATTTAAAGGAAATATTTTAGTTCACAAGGTTATTCTTTGCGGGAAGGAGGTAAAAAAGGCAAAAAAAATCTTCGGAGCCCCTTATGGCTAAACGTTGGTAGAAAGACGCAATCAGCTCTGCAGGACGTCTGCATTCTTAGTCTCTTACATTCCCTCTTCGAGTCACATGCAGCTGCGTGAAGTGATGCTGAGACATCTGGGAAATAGGAAGAAAATATCTTTGTGTTCTTGCGCATCTTCAAGTGAAAATACCGTTAAGGCAAGAGGGACACGAGACAGATGGACAGACAGAATGAAAGAAAAGAAAGATGGGCGCAGTAAAGAAATTGAGGGATATTATGAGAATATGACACATAAAGAATGAGAAAGTATGCAAGAAAAAAAAACAACACTAAGAAGGAAGGACACAACTTTTAGTAAACAGAATAGGCAACCAATGAAACAGATTTGTTGTAATGCTCTCATTTTGTTTCGTACTTATCAAGAATAACTATAAAACCCTGAACTGAAATCCCAGCCCTTTCCAGACTTGAGGAACCCTGTCCACAGGGCTCCGTGTGTCTGGACGTCCAGCACAGGCTCTCCTGCTCGGCATCTCCGTCAGTCAGGCTGCAACGGCGCAGCTTGAGTCGCCCCATTCCTGTCGCGACACTTCTCCCCTTTCCACCAAAACGGTGACAAATCCCGACACGAACACCTCTGTAACACGTCGGTCGCCGTTACCCGCAAATGCGTGCGCGTCTGAGGAAGACGTGGTAGGAAGACACGCACGCAAACAGAGGGGAGCTTGAGCCGGGCGACCACGGCGCCCCGGATGAGTCAGCCCCCTCTCTCTCTCTCTCTCAGCCAAGAGAGAGACGAGAGACGATATGTGGAGCAGAGGTCTCCTCTTGCTCCCGTCCAAGCCCTAGCACCTGTCACACAGCATCACATCCCATGATCCCCCTCTTCATCAGCATCAGCTGCTCTCCCTTCCTGCTGCTCTCTGCAGGGAGAGACAGTGGAGGAGGAGCCTCAACCTCTCACAGCCCTCTCCAATCACAATTTGACATTATGAAAATAAATTTGCTGCATGGAAACACAAGGATTTTGAAAAAAAAAAAAAAGAAAACTAACTCATCTTTTGATTAGAAACGTTTGGGAGCTAGGATCAGGCGGCTTATTTCACAAAGCTGACATGGAACGTTTTTTTTCCGCATGGGCGATCAATAGCCGGATGTTGCCACACAAAGACCACAGAAAGTAGTAGGAGCAACTTGGCGCGGCGTCTTTCTTAATGACAACACGTGAACAAACTTATTCACACGTGATTTCAATTGCGTTTCTCATTTAATGAAACCACCGAAGTTGTGAAATCGTGCGGAATCGTAGCTCCGTCACAAATGCGCACCAAATTTTGTTGCTTTTCTGCTGATGTCAAAAAGAGACCATTTCGCAATTGCAATATCTCCACTAAATGTGGAGCGCAATTTTTAAAAAATCGCACGCGAAAAAAGTGTGTTTGTGAAACGAGTCACTAAAACACATGACGTCGTGGGCCAAAGTCCGGGCTGGAACCTGGGTGAGTCCGATGAAAAATCTTTCTTTGATTAAAAGTTAAAAAATAAATAAATAAAACAAAATAACAGAAAAAATAGAACAACATTGGAATGCAGAGAGCCAGAGCTGAACAAAGACAGAAATCCGGGGAAAAACACACAAGGGTGCTGGTAGTGAAGAAACAAAAAGATAACGGGAGGAACCAGTCAAGAGTGAGAGAAGGTGAGGTGTGCAAGTAGCAGGAGAATGAATGCTGGAACAAAGAACCTGGACTATTTAGCGAACGGGTTGCAGGTGTGAGGGAAGAGAGCAAAAGGTAGGCTGAGGAGAGAGAGAGACACCGGGGACGAGGGAGAGGACACTGGGGACTAAGAAATGAGTCAAACATTAAAGAACAACTAGACATAAGAAACATAATTAAACTAGAAAAAGAAGTAAGAAATAATCAACAAAAATAAAGGAGAATCACTAAGAAAGGACTGAAAATAATTAAAACACAAACGAGACTAGCCTAATCGAGAAGGGAACTGAGGAAGAAAGAGTTACAATGAAACTAGAGTCAATAAATCAAATTCCAAAAAAAACCAACTCTGAGACCTCCTTCCATTTCCTTTCGTCTTCTTTGTCTTTTGTGCCAGAAGCAACATCCGGTTATCGATCGTGTGACTCGTGTGATGGCAAAACAAAACAAAAAAGCCATTTTCACTGCAGTTTTGCTGAACACACTAATTGTGTTTCCATTCGGAGATTTGTTTTCGTAATTCCAATTTTAAGGTCAATGGAAATGCAGCTATCGACAAAAGTTTTGCGCACATTCGCAATGGAAATGCAGCCAGGATGCCGTTCTCTTCAGTACTACAGTAGCAACTCAGGAATACAGAGAAGGAAACTAACCTTTTGCAGGCTGGTTGGGTTCAACTGGGTTTTGTCGATGATTTTTATTGCAACCTGCAAGAGACGAGGAAGAAGACGTTTTGATGAGGAAACATGAGCAAATCCTTGCACAGCAGAATTATTCTGAACAATAAACGTGAAGCCGAGATATTTTTTTGCGCATGTCATTTTGTTTCTGTGTATGTCCACTTAATCTGAACGTGTTTTTATCTCAATAAAAAAA